AACCACTGTAAAATCTTATGTGTCCTTGATTGGTTATTTTCATTTTTATTTTATTTATTTTGCTGCATATTCTGTGTTTTTAGTGAATAATAGTAGCAACCTTGTTCACACTCTCTCTCTAGATTTGCATCTCAGATCCAACAAAAGCATCCCCATTCAAGTTAACTGTTTGCAGTTAAAAATATTGCGGCCTAAAATTCTGGTATGTTAATGACTAAACCATACTCATATTTCTAGAGATTTGGAGTAATGGGTTGTTTGGTTCATTTCCCAAAAATATAGGTGCGCCAAAAATTAATTCCACTGATTTCCATGCAAAACTGGGAAATGGTAATTTGGTTGGTTTGACATGATTTTTGAGGAGGAGGGGGGGTGGGGGGATGTAATATCTTATTTGTTTCAAGCCAAAAAAAAAAGCATAGGATGTCATGTGATTGGGATTGGGAAAATAAGGTTGGGGATGAGATGACATAGGGGTGTTGAGCTACACCCCATATCCTCTCCAAAGTTTAAGATTTTGATTTTTCCTAGAATTTAGTCATTTTCTCGACTTTGTAGAAAGCAATTCTTTAATTTTTTTTTAAACAAATGTGGGTATAGAAATCCTATAAAGCTTCACAACCCAATTTTTCTTCGTTTTCCTATCATTCAGTGTCTTTTCCTCTTATTGTGGGGTGAACCAAACAGTCCCTAGGTGACGAGTAATCTCAAGAGAACGTATTTCATGTTTGATAGGAAAGTAGGCCCTTCAAGGAGTATAATGTGATGTGATAGAATATGTTGTTATAGGCTATTAGAATACCATGTGCGGTCAACGTCTACTTTTTTACATTTTCAAAAAAGCGAAGACGTTCTAAGAATTTAAATTTCATGATTTAAGTAGAAGCTTTGCCTCCATTGTAGTACCAAAGATGTCAATTAGATCAATAATAGGTTTGTAAAGACAATCAATATAATGTGGGGTTGGATGATAATCTTAGAGTTGAATATGGGCTGAATTTTTTTATTTTTCTGCCCCCTTCTCGCAAAATCTAATCCCTTGATTGATTCCTAACATCATGGGAACAAGTATTGGGAAATCAAGTGGTGTGGTGTCCCCGAGGAGCAACGCATTGGCCTATTATCCACCCGAAGCCTCAGACTCCCAAGAGAGATGGTGCACTGGCACAAATCCCAAGCAGTAAATGCCACATGAAGAACCCATTGTCGCAATCGTGTCGCAATCGTGACAAACAACAAACACAGACACATACGAGAGGCACATAAATACCGATTCTTACTTTTGATTTTAGGGCTGTTTGGTTTGCCAACAACAAAAATTAGAAAATGAAAACCTCATGGAAATCACTTTTCCTTATATTTCTTTAAATTTCTTTTAAAAAATATTTTTAGTTTGTTTTGCATAGAAAGCAATGGTGTAGAAATATAGCCCCCCCCTAAATTTTCTCAATTTCCTATGATTAGTTGGGGACAAAAAACTTTAGCAAAAAAAACAGTAGTAGAAAATTTCTCATGGGAGAATGTATCGCAATGGCTAAATTTTAGCTAAAAAAAGCGTAGTAGAAAATTTCTCGTGGGAGAACCTAGCAGTAGCAAGCTGACCCAACAGTCAAAAAAATAACCGAACTAAAAATACCCAGCATAAAAGTAACAACCCAAATTCTATCGTGGGTATGAGAATCCAACAGCATGAACCAAACCCAACGGGCAAAAGATAACTACATCCCACATCAGAATTGGTAGCCAACAAAAAAGGCAACAGCCCCTAGATTCTCTCGTGTGAGAACCCAGCAGCAGCAAGCAAACCCACATTTCAAAAAATAACCCAACAATAGTGCATCACAATGGGTATATTAGCTAACCAAAAAGCCAACAGCCCCAACGACTATATTTGCCAGCCATTTATTTCATTCTAACAACAATATATACCAACAAACAATGGTTTATATAGAGCTCAAATAATAGTGTTCTTCCCACAACCAAGTAGAAAAAAGAAAAATTGCATAAAATTATATATATTTTTTTGCTCTTATTAACAGCCATAAAAAGATGAACAGAGTTGAAGGGTCCTAAGCAAATCAGGTTTGATGCTACTATTAAATCCCAACACCCCTTAAGATGTGCAAAAATGGTAAGAATAGGGGTAAATATTTTTGGGGTTGTGAAAAATACCCAAATAGACAATGTAACTTTTTTGCTTGGGCTTAATAGTGAAATGAAGAGAGTCATGCCAAAGTTTGAGACTATGAATATAGAAGAGATGAAAGCATCAAAAACCAAATCACAAGATAAAATATAAATGAAGAGAGTGATGCCGAAGTTTGAAAATATATTGCCAAAATTTAAAATTATGAATGAAGAAGATAATAAAGCATCAAAAACCAAACAATTGAAGTAAGAGTTGAAGCAAGCAAAACGTGAAATTGATCTTTGGAATATATGTGCATTGTTTTTATGTTTTTTTATATGCTTCTTATGTCATCAAACATTGTAATTTGTACCATAATAATGCATTGAAGAACATATTATAGTTTAAGCGAATCTATGACTATGTATCCAACTCAGCTATGGTAAAGAAAAATAAAAAATATTTCAATTGTTCATCATAAAAATTAGTATCCCCATGTAAGAATTAAAAAAAAAAGATTGTAAATCATCGTACATGTTCAGAATTGGTCAATAGCATCATGGTATGCCTCGACAAAGATAGTTGTTGATAACATTGTAGACTTCATTATTGTCTCGCTTATACAATGGATCAACAACTTATGACTACATGTATCATAGTATGACAATCATCATAACACTAGTAAACATGACGTCAATCACTATCTGGTTAATCTAATGTAAATATGATGAAAATGAGAGAATTACTTATAACAGGACATGAGGTGAATATATCTTGACTAGCAATATCTCAGTCTTAAAAAGATGGATACCAATATTATTGATGTTCTAGCGATCACAATGTCAATTGGATCCAGGATAGGATCGGTTTGTTCAGGTAAAGAATATTGATGAGGGAACCGCCTCCTTCTCCGACTTTATGCCTAGTTCTTGAATTGGGGAGCTGAGAAATCTGCACATATAAACACTCGTGAGAGGACGTGGATATGTTCTCCCGTTGTACCTCCGACGATCAAGTTATATGGTAAACTTGAGTGGAAGAAGCTGAACTTAAGAGTTCTCATTCTCTTTCCTGGGAAAAGCCCCCCTCCCCACTATAAGGGGAATAATATATATGATATATATATATATAATATATATATATATATATATATATATATATATTATATAGTATATATAATATATATATATATAATATATCATATATATATATATATATATATATATGCTATGAGATTAATGAGTATCTTTGTCATATGGAGGCGGATTTCCTTCTATGCACGCCTCTAAAATACATATTGAGCGCGACAATCTGTGGAGTGATCGCTACGTTGCAACTTGATCTACATATTCTAAACCCCTATACAAACCAAGTTTGGGCTGAACAGCCGTCGTCGTTTGACGCCTCCATCGCAGCCCCAGTGTGAAGAAGTTCTACTTCATTCAAAACCAGTTAAAATTATACGAGTGGATGAAGAGGTCAAACGACGCACGGGTTTCACCCAAACTTGGTGTGTTGGGGTTTTATGATATATGTAGCATCAAGTTCAAGCGGAGGCGGGATCATTTACTATATCGCCGCTCATCATGTGATTTAGCAGTGCCGTCATATGTGAGGAAATCCCCTCCTATGCACAAGATACCATTAATTCCTCTCTGCTCCTCTTCTCTCTCTCTCTCTATATAACTATATATATATATATATATATATATAATATATATATATATATTATATATATTATATTATATATATATATATATATATATATATATATATATATTATGGGAGAAGGATAGATTGGACTTACTTTGCGCTGAGTATGGAGAAGTGATGGTTTGAGTTATGAGGCTGGTCGGCTGGCATTCAGCATCTACTTTATGGCGTGTCGGCTGACGCTGGCAGCGAGGATCTCCTTTAGTCATTAAATGAGAAGAGCAGAGGCGAGTATGCGCTGGTGGCTGCATTAGCACCACTTTTACGCGCGTGCTCGCATAGGTGCGTTGGCGGAAAATATCACTACGTTTCAGCATTGGAGAGATCATCCCAATATCAAATGAAGAGTGATCGGCGGCATGTCAAAGCCCATGTGATATGACGAGCCATGAAGACTATCGGGGTTAGGGTCATAATGGGACATGTCTAGTGTTGACAGTGGTGCTGGCACGTGGTCAGAGGGAGAAGCCCAAGGCAGATATTATCCTCCAGTTTCACCGAGAAGTAATGCCCATTGAGTCATCCTCGTAGGGTATTGAATAAAAGGTCGAATGAGCTCCAGGCGAGTCGACTTCGATAAGAAGGTCGACTGATCCC